CAGGAGCAGTTCAAGACTTCATGATGACCATGGGGCTATCACAAGTTATATCTGGACCCACCCATCAGGCTGGACATACACTCGACCTGGTTTTTATTGCGGACAGTGGAATGGTCAGGGTGGAAGAGCAAAATATTCTGACCATCATCTGATCAGTTTTAGACTTACTGTGACCTCTAACCTTCGCAGGGGTGGAGGACCAATTAAGATGGTCCGCCCCAGGAGACTGATGGATCCGGATGGTTTCCTGAGGAATCTTGGAGCTCTTCCTGTCATGGAGGCTAGCAATCATGTCGACGCTCTGGTTGATCGCTATAATAGTGAGATGGGCAGGGTGATAGACATGATCACTCCCGAACGTCCACTCTCACTGCACATAGACACGCCATCTCCTTGGTTCACTGAGGAGTTGGCCGGGATGAAGCACATGAGAAGGGGTCTAGAGTGCATCTGGAGGAAATCCCGGGGTGTCTCCGACCGAACACGGGCTCGAGCCTCACTTAGGGCCTACACCACGGCTATACGGACAGCCAAGGAAACCTTCTTGATTTGTTGTTTATCATTGCTTGTTGTTTTGATGTGTTTTGGGGCTTGGCCTCATGTAAGCCGCTCTGACTCCCTAGGGGAGATGGTGGCGGGGTATAAATAATGTATTATTATTATTATTATTATTATTATTGGCAGGGTAGAGTCACTATATGGCACTATAGATGGGGACCCAATCTTGAAGCGCTCTCTCAACATTTCCTCTCACAAAAACCATGTTTAATAAACACACAACAGGATCGAAGAGGTTTTTTTAATTGAATCCTCATTGTTCGTTCATGAAGAGCACAAGAGGGACCGAAAGGATTTCTCCTTGTGCCCAAGAGGCCATCAATGGCCACAGAATTACGACGGTCGAGATTGCGGTCCAGATGGGATTAATGCATTCTTCCACATCTATCTCAAAGCAGCGGAACCGGAGTGGGTTCTCCACGTGGCAATATTGTGCTTTTCCGGGGTCTCTTGAAGGGAGTTTGTGGCCTGGACGCCGCAGTTGGAAGCTCGCTCCGGACACCACTAAACGGTCAGTGTAGACGGGGCCTCAGATACATTGCAGCGTATTAGGATTATAAAAAGGAAACTATACGAGTCTCAGAATAACTTGCGAAATAAGATAATAACATAAGGTGCATCTACACTGTCGAATGGATGCAGTTTGGCATCACTTTAACGGCCACAGTTCAATGCTATGGAACCCTGGGAGTTTCAGTTTTGCAAATTCTTTGGCCTTCTCTGCCAAAGAATGCTCGTGCCTCAGTAAACTACACATCCCTGGATGCCATGGAAGGAAGTGCCATGTTTATCACCGGTTTGCTTTGTTAATCAACCTGGCATTCTAGGTATAATGTGTTGTTGGAGGCTTGGGTTGTTGTGAGTTTTCCGGGCTGTCTGGCCATGTTCCAGAAGCATTCTCTCCTGACATTTCACCCACATCTATGGCAGGCATCCTTAGAGGTTGGGAGGTCTGTTGGAAACTGCGCAAGTGGGGTGGAATAATGTCCAGGATTGGGAGAAAGAACTCTTGTGTGAATGTCGCAATTGACCAGCTTGATTAGCATCAAATGGCCTTGCAGCTCCAAAGCCTGGCTGCTTCCTGCCTGGGGGAATCCTATATATATCTGCGCAATGTCCAGGGTGGGAGAAAGAACTCTTCTGTGTTTGAGGTGAGTGTGAATGTTGCAACTGTCCACGTTGATTGGCATTTAATGGCATTGCAGCTTCAAAGTCTGGCTGCTTCCTGCCTGGGGGAATCCTATATATACCTGCGCAATGTCCAGGGTGGGAGAAAGAGCTCTTCTTTGTTTGAGGTGAGTGTGAATGTGCAATTGTCCATGTTGATTAGCATTTAATGGCATTGCAGCTCCAAAGCCTAGCTGCTTCCTGCCTGGGGGGAATCCTTTGTTGGGAGGTGTTAGTTGGCCCTGATGGTTTCCTGTCTGGAATCCCCATTTTCTGAGTGTTCTTCTTTATTTACTATTCTGATTTTAGGGTTTTTTTATACTGGTAGTCAGATTTTGTTCATTTTCATGGATTCCTCCTTTCTGTTGAAATTGTCCACGTCCTTGTGGATTTCAGTGGCTTCTCTGTGTAGTCTGACATGGTGGTTGTTGGTGTGGTCCAGCATTTCTGTGTTCTCAAATAATATGTTGTGTCCAGGTTGGTTCATCAGGTGCTTGTGGATTTCAATGGCTTCTTACCGTACATCAAGGAAACCAACCTGGACAAAGCATCACCTCCCAACAAAGGATTCCCCCGTGCAGGGAGCAGCCAGGCTTTGAAGCTGCAAGGCCATTCAATGCTAATCAAGCTGGTCAATTGCTACATTCACATTTGCCTCAACAGACAAGAGGTTTTTTTCCCCACCCTGGATATTATTCCACAGATATATAAACCCAGGGGCGGCTCGTCCATTACGCAAAGTAAGCGGTTGCGGTACACTTTTTTTGCCAGGGGCGCAGAGGCGCCTCTGTAAATGCCCCTTGACCGCCACTTGAGGAGCCCTAGCAGCCCTAGTTTCCAACAGACCTCACAACCTCTGAGGATGCCTGCCATAGATGTGGGTGAAACGTCAGGAGAGAATGCTTCTGGAACATGGCCAGACAGCCCGGAAAACTCACAGCAACCCAGAGATTCCGGCCACGAAAGCTTTCAACAACACAGCGGAAGAATAATGACATGTTGCATTTTAGCTGCATTCTCCAGTTACTTAAATACTATATATATATATATATATATATATATATATATATTCAGAAACATGCGATTCTAAAGGCCTGGATTTTTTAAAAAAAAAATTTTTTACGTCCCAGACCTCCTTTCTGACAAAATAAAAATAGAAATTGTCTCCCTTGGGAAGTTCCAGAAGCCAAGAAGTCTCTCTCATATATATATATGTATATGTATATACATACACATATACATACACATGCACATACTGTTAAAAATAAATTAAAAATCTTCTCATTTCAAAGGACGAAAGGGATGTAAAGCTATTTCCACTCCTACGTTTCATCTTGTGAATGTTTTATAGGGTCAGTGTAGACTCATATAATGCAGCTTAACTGCATTGCACTGCATTATATGGCCAGTGTAGACCTATATAATGCAGCTTAATTGCATTGCACTGCATTATATGGCATTCTAGACCCATATAATGCAGCGTAAGTGCACTGAACTGCAGTGTAGACCTATATAATGGTCAATGTAGACCTATATAATGCAGCTTAATTGTACTGCATTACATGGCCAGTGTAGACCTATATAATGCAGCTTAATTGCACTGCATTATATGACAGTGTGGACTCATATAATGCAGGCTAACTGCATTGAACTGCATTATATGGCCAGGGTAGACCTATATAATGCAGCTTAATTGCATCACACTGCATTATATGGCATTCTAGACTCATATAATGCAGCTTAACTGCGCTGAACTGCATTATATGGCCCATGTAGTTCTATATAATGCCGCTTACTAGCATTGCACTGCATTATATGGGATTGTGGACTCATATAATGCGGCTTGACTGCATTGCACTGCATTATATGGCCGGTGTAGATCTATATAATGCAACTGAAAATGCCCTGCACTGCATTATATGGCATCGTAGACTCATATAATGCAGCTTAACTGCATTGCACTGCATTATATGGCCAGTGTAGATCTACATAATGCAGGTGAAAATGCACTGCACTGGATTATATGGCATTGTAGACTCATATAATGCAGGTTAACTGCACTGAACTGCATTATATGGCCAGTGTAGACCTATATAATGCAACTTAATTGTACTGCATTTTATGGCAGTGTAGACTAATATGATGCAGGTCAACTGCAATGAACTGTGTTATGTGGCCAGTGTAGATCTATATAATGCAGCTTAATTGCACTGCACTGCATTATAGGGCATTGTAGACTCATGTAATGGAGCTTAACTGCATTGAGCTGCATTATATGGCCGGTGTAGACCTATATTATGCGGCTCAATTGCACTGCACTGCATTATATGGCATTCTAGACTCATATAATGCAGGTTAACTGCACTGAACTGCATTATATGGCCAGTGTAGACCTATATAATGCAGCTTAATTACACTGCATTATACGGCATTCTAGACTCTCATATAATGCAGGTTATATAAAATGCAGGTGAAAATGCACTGCATTGCATTATATGGCATTGTAGACTCATATAATGCAGCTTCACTGCACTGCATTATATGGCCAGTGTACATCTATATAATGCAGCTGAAAATGCACTGCACTGCATTATATGGCATTGTAGACTCATATAATGCAGCTTAACTGCACTGCACTGCATTATACGGCAAGTGTAGACCTATATATTGAGGTTAATTGCACTGCATTATATGACAGTGTGGACTCATACAATGTAGGTTAACTGCATTGAACTGTGTTATATGGCCCGTGTAGATCTATATAATGCAGCTTAATTGCGTTGCACTGCATTATATGGCATTCTAGACTCATATAATGCAGGTTAACTGCACTGAACTGCATTATATGGCCGGTGTAGACCTATATAATGCAGCTTAAATGCACTGCATTATATGGCAGTGTGGACTCCTATAGACTCATATAATACAGTAACTGCATTGCACTGCGTTATATGTCCCATTTAGATCTATATAATGCAGCTGAAATTGCATTGCACTGCATTATATGGTATTGTAAACTCATATAATGCAGCTTAACTGCATTGCACTGCAATATATGATATTGTAAACTCATATAATGCAGCTTAACTGCTTTGCACTGCATTATTTGGCCAGTGTTTCTCCCAAACATTCATTCATATCCCACCTTTCTCCCAAATGGGGAGAAATAATATATGCCGAGAGGTGCATTGGGAAGACTAGAAGTGGATGGAGCCACAATGTAAACTTCTCCAAGTAGAGCACATACATGGGGATCCCATAGCGAACCCCATGTCTGGAAGGCTATTTTTGAATAAGGTTCCACTTTGAGGTAAGATCCTCCTAGAGGCAAAGGAGAAACGAGGCTGAAAGGGGGGGTCCGAAAGAGTCCGGAAACAATGTATCCAAGGGAGAGTCCCGTTTCCACACGGACGTCTGGATCCTGAGAGTTCCCGTGGGGTTAAATAAGATCAAAATATCCCATAACCTCAGAATCAGGGGGTTCAATGGGGTTCATCATAATGCATCCAAGGGAGAGTCCTGTTTCCACCCGGACGTCTGGGTACTGAGCTTTCCCATGGGGTTAAATAAGGTCAAAATATCCCATAACCTCAGAATCAGGGGGTTCAATGGGGTTCATCATAATGCATCCAAGGGAGAGTCCCGTTTCCACCCGGACGTCTGGGTACTGAGCTTTCCCATGGGGTTAAATAAGGTCAAAATATCCCATAACCTCAGAATCAGAGGGTTCAATGGGGTTCATCATAATGCATCCAAGGGAGAGTCCCGTTTCCACCCGGATGTCTGGGTACTGAGCTTTCCCATGGGGTTAAATAAGGTCAAAATATCCCATAACCTCAGAATCAGGGGGTTCAATGGGGTTCATCATAACGTATCCAAGGGAGAGTCCAGTTTCCACCCGGACGTCTGGATACTGAGCTTTCTCATCAGGTTAAATAAAGTCAAAATAACCCATAACCTCAGAATCAGAGGGTTCAATGGGGTTCATCATAATGCATCCAAGGGAGAGTCCCGTTTCCACCCGGATGTCTGGGTACTGAGCTTTCCCATGGGGTTAAATAAGGTCTAAATATCCCATAACCTCAGAATCAGGGGGTTCAATGGGGTCCATCATAATGCATCCAAGGGAGAGTCCCGTTTCCACCCGGACGTCTGGGTACTGAGCTTTCCCATGGGGTTAAATAAGGTCAAAATATCCCATGACCTCAGAATCAGAGGGTTCAATGGGGTTCATCATAATGCATCCAAGGGAGACTCCCGTTTTCACCTGGATGTCTGGGTACTGAGCTTTCCCATGGGGTTAAATAAGGTCAAAATATCCCATAACCTCAGAATCAGGGGGTTCAATGGGGTTCATCATAACGTATCCAAGGGAGAGTTCCATTTCCACCTGGATGTCTGGGTACTGAATGTTCCCATGGGGTTAAATAAGATCAAAATAATCCATAACCTCAGAAACAGAGGGTTCAATTGGGTTCATCATAATGTATCCAAGGGAGAGTCCTGTTTCCACCCGGACATCTGGGTACTGAGCTTTCTCATGGGGTTAAATAAAGTCAAAATATCCTATAACCTCAGAACCAGAGGGTTCAATGGGGTTCATCATAATGTATCCAAGAGAGAGTCCCGTTTCCACCTGGACATCTGGGTCCTGAGCTTTTGCAAAGGGGTCAAATAAGGTCAAAATATCCCGCAATCTCAAAACCAGAGGGATTCGGCCTCCATTCATAATGCGTCCAGGGGAAACATTTCCACCCAGACGTCTGGGTCTGGTTCTCTCCCCATGGGGTCAAATAAGGTCCAAATATCCCTCAATCAGTGAGGTTCATAATGCATTCAAGTCTCATTTTCCACCCAGATGGCTAGGTCCTGAGCCAAATAAAGTTGCCAGAATCCCCCATTGTGCAAACATCCCCACTCATGGGACATTATGAGAGATGATCGGACTTTTTTGAAAGGCAGAAACGGAGCCCACGTTCCTGCTCGTCCGTCCACCCATTCAGGCCACTTTGGTGACCGGATGCCTGGGAGGCCGCAAGACACCTCGGCGTGGGAGTGGCTGGTGCGCCGCAGCCCTCCGCCGGTTCTTCAGGCTCTGTTTCCTCAACAAATAGCGGGAATACTGGACTTCGGGCATGACCAGCTTGAGGCACAGTTCGTCGGAAGGTGGTCCCGACCCAGGGAGGTCGTACCCCACGATGTCCACTTTGGCGCTGGGCTGCCAGGGCCGCAGCTCCTTGTTCTTGATCTGCATGGCTGGGCGCAACTGAGGCTGTCCGCCAAAGCAGCGCTCGGCCAAACGCCCGCAAGCCTGGCGCAGGGCCTGCACCTCCTTCCGGACGCAGTCCTGCCCCACTTCGCTCATCTTCCGCCAGAAAGTGGCGTTGAAGTGGTCGTAGAGCCGGGCGTCCAGGGCGTTCCAGGTCCGGATCTGTTCCGCCAGGTGGGGAGAGGTGATGTTGAGCTTGGACTCGGGGCTGCGCATGTTCAGCTTGACGTACAAGACATCCTCCAGATCCCACGCCAAGAGCCGGCGGAGAAGGACCAAGGACTCGTCGAAGTACTCGGCCAACATAACCAGGGAAAATATGCTTTCGACTTGGCGGACGAACCTCGGCAAGTAAGTGGGATCGCGGTCCGGGTTGCGCTCGGGGTCGCCGCCAAGGTCGTACACCATGGTGTTGTGAGCGTACATGGTGAACTTCTCGTGCGGGCGGTAATAGCGGTACGGCTCATCCAGGAAGGCCTCCATGGAACCGTTTGGCACACGCTTGAACGCGGGACAGTACTGGTTGTAGTAGCTGAAGAGGGACTCAAACATGGCCACCGGCTCGCGCAGGATGGTGATGTAGAGGGTGTCGTTGGGCATGAGGCGGCGCAGCTCGTCGCCGTTGAAGCGCAGGTGGCTGGCAATGACCCGCGGTGGGAGCGTGTAAGGGTGCACGAAGCGGGCCGAGAAGTTGCGGGGGTAGCAGAACTGGTGGTCACAGGTGTGGTGGGGCAGCGCCACCGTCACGTTGTGCTGCTCGGCAAAGCGGAAGAGCAGGTTCTGGACCGTGGTGCTGGCTGTCTTGTGGGTCTTCAGGAAGGCCACGGCGGTGTGCTTGGGCCGCGAGGAGAGCACAGGGCTGCAGCCAAAGGGGGAAGACTTTGGGAACCTGAAAGCAGAAAGCAAGCAGCCATGAGACCGACCCGAGAAGGTCCACCCTCTACTCAAACCACCCAAGGATTCTTCGGAGTCCATCACAGGCTTTGTCTGAACCACCCATCGCACTATGTAACGTGATTTTTGTTCCTAGGTTATAAATGTCATTTCCTAATTGGGTCTATCATAAAGACATGGAAGAAAGTTTAATAAACTGCAAAAACTTTGGTTTTGCTGGAGGGACATCGTGCAGCACATTTTGCTATAGTTTGTCAATGAATATCTAGAGTCTCAACCATTTTAATATGGTTATGCCTGCTCAGGTTGACTGCAACGGCTCTCTAGGATAGCCATCCATCTATCACTTCTAGTGTCTATCTCTATCTGTCTGCCTGTCTATCTACCTACCCATCCATCCATCAGTTCCAGTGTCTGTCTGTCTGCCTATCTATCTGTCTGTCAGTTATATTATCTATCTAGCTATTATTTGATCTATCTATCTATCTATCTATCTATCTATCTATCTATCTATCCATTCATCCACCCATCCATCTATCAGTACTAGTATCTATCTGTCTGTCTGTCTGTCTGTCTGTCCGTCCATCCATTCATCAGTTCCAGTGTCTGTCTGTCTGCCTATCTATCTGTCTGTCAGTTATATTATCTATCTAGCTATTATTTGATCTATCTATCTATCTATCTATCTATCTATCTATCTATCTATCCATTCATCCACCCATCCATCTATCAATCTATCTATCTATCTATCTATCTATCTATCTATCTATCTATCTATCATCCATCCATCCATCCATCCATCCCTCTATCCCTCCCTCTATCTATCTATCTATCTATCTATCTATCTATCTATCTATCTATCCATCCATCCATCCATCCATCCATCCATCCATCCATCCATATCTATCTATCTATCTATCTATCTATCTATCTATCTATCTATCTATCTATCTATCCATCCATCCATCCATCCATCCATCCATCCATCCATCCATCCATCCATCATCTTCTATCTATCTATCTATCTATCTATCTATCTATCTATCTATCTATCTATCTATCTATCTATCTATCTATCTATCCATCCATCCATCCATCCATCCATCCATCCACCCACTCACCACCCACCCACCCATCCATCAGTACCGGTACAGGTACCGGTACCAGTACCAGTACCAGTACCAGTACCAGTACCAGTACCAGTACCAGTATCTATCTATCTATCTATCTATCTATCTATCCTATCTATCTATCCTATCTATCTATCCTATCTATCTATCCTATCTATCTATCCTATCTATCTATCCTATCTATCTATCTATCTATCTATCTATCTATCTATCTATCTATCTATCTATCTATCTATCTATCTATCTATCTATCCATCCATCCACCCACCCACCCACCCACCCACCCACCCACCCACCCATCTATCTATCCATATCTATCTATCTATCTATCTATCTATCTATCTATCCATCCATCCATCCATCCACCCACCCACCCACCCACCCACCCACCCATCCATCAGTACCAGTACCAGTACCAGTACCAGTACCAGTACCAGTACCAGTATCTATCTATCTATCTATCTATCTATCTATCTATCTATCTATCTATCTATCTATCTATCTATCCATCCATCCATCCATCCACCCATCCATCCATCCATCCATCAGTACCAGTATCTATCTATCTATCTATCTATCTATCTATCTATCTATCCATCCCCCCCCCCCCCCCCAGGAGTGTTTTCATGGTGTCCCAACTTGGAGCCAGAAGCAGCTCATCCTCCCGATCTACGCTTGCCTTTGGCGCTTACCAGCTGAGGTGGGCGCTTTGGCGCAAGAGCAAAGTGACGGTGCTGAAGGCCAGGAGGAGGAGGAGGAAGCCCTTCTTGCGGGAGATCATCTTGGGGCCGTGGAGCAGGCTGTAGCTCATGCTGGGGGGGCCTTATCGGGGCACGGGGTGGTTGCGGGTCCCGACCGGCATCGGGAATCAGCAGCGGAGAAGAGGGCACCTACAGAAGAAGGTTAAAATCACACAAGGAAGGAGTGGGTAAAACAGAGCTGGACATTTCGTCAACATCGGAAATCAATCGCTACACACAACACTGGGAGGAAAAGTCACAACATACACTGTAGTGCCATATCAGTGAAACCCAGACTACATTAGATGCATCTACACCAGGAATGGGTAAACTTCTGCTCTCCAGGTGTTTTGGACTTCAACTCCCACAATTCCTAGCCGCCACCCACTATAACAAAATTTCTCAACCTGGGGACGCACAAAGGGGAGGTCAGAAGGGTCACCAAAGACCATCAGAAAACACCCATTTCTGATGGTCTGATGGGAGGCACAAAGGGGGTGTCAGAAGGGTCACCACCAAGTTTGGTCCAGATCCATGATTGTTTGAGTCCACAGCGCTCTCTCCAAAGCTCAAGGTCAATGCACACCAAAACATTTCTCAACCTGGGTAGGCACAAAGGGGGTGTCAGAAGGGTCAACAAAGACCATCAGAAAACACCCATTTCTGATGGTCTTTGGTCCACCACCAAGTTTGGTCCGGATCCATGACTCTTTGAGTCCACTGCGCTCTCTGGATGTGGATCAACAACTCCAAAGCTCAAGGTCAATGCGCACCAAACCCTTCCAGTGTTTTCTGTTGGTCACATGAGTTCTGTGAACCAAGTTGGGTTCTATTCCATTGATGGTGGAGTTCGGAATGCTTTTTGGTTGTAGGTGGATATCAGCATCTACAACTCCCAAATGTGAGGGTCTATTGTCCCCAGACTCCACCAGTGTTCACATTTGGAGATATTGAGTATTTGTGCCAAGTTTGGTTCAATTCGATCGTTGGAACCCAAAATGCTCTTTCATTGTAGGTGAACTATAAATCCCAGCAACTACAACTCCCTAATGTCAAGGTCTATTGTCCCCAGACTCCACCAGTGTTCACATTTGGAGATATGGAGTATTTCTGCCAAGTTTGGTTCAATTCCATCGTTGGAACCCAAAATACTCTTTGATTGTAGGTGAACTATAAATCCCAGCAACTACAACTCCCAAATGTCAAGGTCTATTGTCCCCAAATTCCACCAGTGTTCACATTTGGGCATATTGAGTATTTGTGCCAAGTTTGGTCCAGATCCATCATTCCTTGAGTCCACAGTGCTCTCTGGATGTAGGTGAACTACAACTCCAAAACTCAAGGTCAATACCCACCAAACCCTTCCAGTATTTTCTGTTGTTCATGGGAGAACTGTATGCCAAGTTTGGTTCAATTCCATCATTGAAGTTCAGAATGCTCTTTGATTGTAGGTGAACTATAAATCTCAGCAACCACAACTCCCAAATGTCAAGGTCCATTGTCCCCAAACTCCACTAATGTTCACATTCGGGCATATTGAGTATCTGTGCCAGGTTTGGTCCAGATCCATCATTGTTTGAGTTCACCGTGCTCTCTGGATATAGGTGAACTATAACTCCCAAACTCAAGGTCAATGCCCACCTAACCCTTCCAGTATTTTCTGTTGTTCATGGGAGTTCTGTGTGCCAAGTTTGGTTCAATTCCATCATTGGTGGAGTTCAGAATGCTCTTTGATTGTAGGTGAACTATAAATCCCAGCAACTACAACTCCCAAATGTCAAGGTCTATTTTCTCCAAACTCCATCAGTGTTTACATTTAGCCATATTGAGTATTTGTGCCAAGTTTGGCCCAGATCCATCATTGTTTGAGTCCACAGTGCTCTCTGGGTGTAGGTGAACTACAACTCCCAAACTCAAGGTCAATGCCCACTAAACCCTTCCAGTATTTTCTGTTGGTCTTGGGAGTTCTGTGTGCCAAGACTGGTTCAATTCCATCGTTGGTGGAGTTCAGAACCAACTTTAATTGTAGGTGAACTATAAATCCCAGCAATTAAGACTCCCAGATGTCAAGGTCTATTTTCTCCAAACTCCATCAGTGTTTACATTTAGCCATATTGAGTATTCGTGCCAAGTTTGGCCCAGATCCATCATTGTTTGAATCCACAGTGCTCTCTGGGTGTAGGTGAACTACAACTCCTAAACTCAAGGTCAATGCTCACCAAACCCTCCCAGTATTTTCTGTTGGTGAGGGGAGTTCTGTGAGTCAAGTTTGGTTCGATTTCATCATTGGAGTCCATCATTGTTTGAATCCACAGTGCTCTCTGGATGTAGGTGAACTACAACTCCCAAACTCAAGATCAATGCTCAACAAACCCTTCTAGTATTTTCTGTTGGTCTCCCATGTCCTGTATGCCACGTTTGGTTCAATTCCATCGTTGGTGGAGTTCAGAATCCTCTTTGATTGTAGGTGAACTATAAATCCCAAATGACAAAAATCAATTTTTTGAGTGATGGTCACTCCTTGGGTTAGTAGCTGTCTTGTGTCCAAATTTGGCGGCAATTTGTCCAGCGGGATTTTGAGTTATATGTTAATCCCACAAACGAACATTACATTGGGTTGTTGTAGGTTTTTTCAGGCTATACGGCCATGGTCTAGAGGCATTCTCTCCTGACGTTTCGCCTGCATCTACGGCAAGCATCCTCAGAGGTAGTGAACATTACATTTTTATTTATATAGATGTTAATTGCTTTTAATGGTAATTTATGTTGTTGGGGGGCAGCGAATAGTGTCGACCGTAAAGTGCTTTGAGTCGCCTTCGAGCTGAGAAAGGCGGTATATAAATACGGTTAATTAATTAATTAATTTGTTGAGTTCCAGGGCCAGAGAAGCAGATGGCGGAAACAGAAGAACGGCCTGCCTCAGGGGAGCGTGCTTGCTCCATCCATGTTCAACATCTACACAAATGACCAGCCACTGCCAGAAGGGACAGAGAGCTTCATCTATGCTGATGATCGTGCCATCACCACTCAAGCAGGGAGCTTTGAGATGTTTGAACAGAAGCTCTCCGAAGCTCTAAGTGCTCTTACTGCCTACTACAGGGAAAACCAGCTGATCCCCAACCCATCTAAAACACAGACATGTGCCTTTCATCTCAAGAACAGACAAGCATCCCGAGTTCTGAGGATCACCTGGGAAGGAATCCCACTGGAGCATTGCAGCGCACCCAAATACCTGGGAGTCACTCTGGACCGTGCTCTGACCTACAAGAAGCACTGCCTGAACATCAAGCAAAAAGTGGGTCCTAGAAACAATATCATACGAAAGCTGACTGGCACAACCTGGGGATCACAACCAGACACAGTGAAGACATCTGCCCTTGCGCTATGCTACTCTGCTGCTGAGTATGCATGCCCAGTGTGGAACACATCTCACCACACTAAAACAGTGGATGTGGCTCTTAATGAGACATGCCGCATTATCACGGGGTGTCTGCGCCCTACACCACTGGAGAAATTACACTGCTTAGCCGGTATTGCACCACCTGACATCCGCCGGGAAGTAGCAGCCAATAGTGAAAGGACCAAGGCAGAGACATCTCCCGCTCATCCCCTGTTTGGGTATCAGCCAGCACGTCAACGACTTAAATCAAAATAGTTTTCTAAGATCTACAGAGACACTCGCTGGAACACCTCAGCAAGCGAGAGTCCAAAAGTGGCAGGCCCAAACCCAGCACCTCAACCAATGGCTGATACCCAATGAGAGACTCCCTCCTGGGCACACAGAAGACTGGGCGACTTGGAAGGCACTGAACAGACTGCGCTCTGGCACCACGAGATGCAGAGCCAACCTTCAGAAATGGGGCCACAAAGTGGAATCCTCGACATGCGAGTGTGGAGAAGAGCAAACCACTGACCACCTGCTGCAATGCAACCTGAGCCCTGCCACATGCACAATGGAGGACCTTCTTGCAGCAACACCGGAAGCATGCCAAGTGGCCAGATACTGGTCAAAGGACATTTAACCAACTACTAAACTCACAAGTTGTGTATTTTTCTGTTTGTTTGCTTTGTTCTGTTAGAAATGTAATATAATGGACTGGTTGCTCTGACACGACAAATAAATATGTAGGAAGTTTAGCCCAATTCTATTGTTGGTGGGGTTCAGGATGCTTAATAAGTTTCATTGCTCTCTATCCATAGGATAGGAACGCCCCTTGTACCCTCTAACACTGAAAAGAACCTAAAAAGTATTCATGACAGGTTTCCCATCCGCTTACTTGCCTGCAACGATCCCGAAAGGTATGCCCTCCAAGGTAATCCAAGACGCAGCGTTACCATCCGACACCTGCCCCTTTCCTTTCTTCCTTCCTTCCTTTCTTTCTTTCTTTCTTTCTTTCTCTCTCTCTTTCCTCCAGATACAATCCCACCTTCTTCTTCCCGCAACCCGGTCGCCGAGTTGAATGGCGAAACGTCCCAGAGGAAACCAGAGACGGCCACCGACTTCTCAAACAAGGAGAGGAGATTGGGTATCAAAAGGCCCGGGATCACGGCCCTGGATCGGTTCCAAAAGACCTGGAACTGGCATCACCTAGCACTGCAAACAGAAGCCACAAGTATTGGAGGTTCTCCGCTCCGGAATCTAGTCGGGATCATCGAATGGGTGAAGAACGCTTCCTTTTGGGGTCTTCTTCTTGTTGTTGTTGATGTCAAAGATTATTATTATTATGACTGTAGAATCATAGAAAAGATCCCAAAGGTTATCCAGTCCATCCCTTTTGTCTCAGGCTGAAAGACACCATCAAAGCCCTTCTGCCCTTCCTTCCTTCCTTCCTTCCTTCCTTCCTTCCTTCCTTCCTTCCTTCTTCCTTCCTTCCTTGCTTGCTTGCTTGCTTGCTTCTTTCTTTCCTATCTTCCTTCCTTCCTTTCCTTCCAGTCTTCCTCCTCCTTTTTCTTTTCCTTCCTTCCTCTTCTTTCCTTCCTTCCCTTCCATCCTTCTTTCCTTCCTTCCTTCCTTCCTTCCTTCCTTCCTTCCTTCCTTCCTTCCTTCTTTCCCTTCCTTTCCTTTCCTTCCTTTACTTTCCTTTGCTTCCTTCCTTTTCTTCCTTTCCCTCCCTCCTTCCCTCCCTCCCTCCTTCCTTTCTCTTTCCTTCCTTCTCTTCCTTCCTTCCTTCTTCTTCCTTCTCTCCTTCTTTCTTACTTCTGTCTTTCCTTCCTTCTTTCTTCTCTTCCTTCTTCCCTTCCTTCTTTCCTTTTTCCTTTCCTTCCT